ACATGATTTTTAATTACCATTTTTACTCGTTCTTTACCAACCCACTTTCCCTTCTCGTTGGTAGGAAGAACGAGTATTGTTCTCAGTGCTGTGTAACCCTTTTCCTGTTCCTGTTTTCATCTCAGAAAACACAACACCTACAGACATGACAATAGTACCACTGTAAAGAGGGAACGCTGGTCTCAATTAAAGCAATGAACCTTTTTTCAGGTTTAATAGTATAATTTTGAGCACTCTTAACAAATTTTGCGTGTTTTCATTCTAAGTCCCAGACCAGAGCTTATTTTGAGCGTGTTGAAAAACTTAGTTAAGCAGCGAAAATGGATCATGCATGCATCTTTGAACTTATGAGATGTTAATAAAACTGTTTTATTAACATGTTTTGAGTCGCTACCGAAGCATTTTAATGAGTTTACTTAACAGATCCTCCTAAAAACTTGCAAGTCCTGTGCCGGTGGAGGAGTACGTGAGGTTATGGCGGCGCCATCCGTGCTGCCACCTGTGGACGCACATGGTAACTACTTCACAGTGAGCGCGCGGGCGTTTAAAATGTACCTTTTATCGTCACACATCACCCTAAACACACACTTCTCCATTACTCTGAGATAAAAGCAGGAACTGATTTTGAAGAACTACCGTGGTTTGGTTAAAGAACGAGTTTCCTACTTAGCACAAAATTCATTTTGTGTTCATAGTTTCCCTTGTTCCTTTTTCAGATCACCTACGGGTGTCCGGGAGAATACGCGGCAGCTAGATGGGTTGCCTACGCACTGGCGTGCAGGCGCGGAGGGCGAGGAGGAAGTGGAAGAGGTGGTGAAGGGAGGCTATTGGCCACCTCCCCTCCCACCACCGGTGTCAATTAACGAAACGTTTCGTAAAGTCACAAATATATTTCGTAACAAATGCAAATTTTCGGGTTAAACGTCATAAAATTAGACGACAATTATAACAGTTTTCATACCACCTAGACGGAGCTTAGGATTTTACAAAACAATTCCTAAGACAACGACGTATCGTAATTTGTTAAAACCGAAGTTTTCGTAATAGAAAATTAACCGAAAAAATTTCGAAAAATTACGATAATTGTTTGTACAGTGTACAGTGCTGGGAGGAGCGGGGCAGGGTGGGGGCTGTACCCCGCTCCTACCCGCGCCCGACCGGCTCAACGATTTTTGTTCTTCTCCTTCCGGTCTAGTCGAGCCCCGGAGTACCCTATTAACGTCGTCCGATCTCCCCGCGACGCTCCAATGTCGTCCGATCTCGCCGCGACGCTCCAACGTCGTCCGATCTCCTTTTGACGCACGCTCTGCAGCGCTGTCTTCTTTTATTTGCGAGAAGAAGAATATCGGTAGTAGAGAAAAGGTGAAAATTCCTTAGGTATTCCTACAGTATCAAGAAATAGCAATTTTCACATTTTCTCCACTGCCTGTATTATCCTACACGTATAATTAAAAGAAGACAGCGCTGCAGAGTGCGCGTGGAAAGGAGATTAGACGACGTTAGAGCGTCACTGGGAGATCGGACAACGTTAAAACGTGTCGCGGGGAGATCGGACGACGTTAGGACCCGTCGCCAGGCCGAGGGGAAATCACTTGGGAGCACAGCCTACGGGTAATTTCGCGGTATTTCACGGCAATTTCGGTTATTTCGTGGTATGTATTTCGCGTTATTTCGGGGGTATTGAGCGACCATTTCGCTTCCATGTCGCACTATTTTGCCATTATATCCGCACTATTTCGCTTTTATTTCGTGTAAAGATGTACGAACTATTTCGCAAGTAAATTCCCCCTCGGCCCAGGCTACCTCCTCGGTGCAAACCTGGTATCGCTTGTGAACGTTCGAGCGGGCGACCAACCGAAAGGCTCTGGACCTCTACGTTCGAATGGCGGCAATGCTACGGCGTGGCACGGCGTGGTCCGGCGCATCGTAGCCCAGCGTGGCGTAGCGCGGCACGGCGGCCTAGTGTTTCATGACGAAAGCTGCTGCTTTAACCGGCAAACATTAACTTTACGCTTTTTCTGGCTAACTTAACGCTTCGGCGAACTTTACGAGAGTACAAGCTGATGATTACTGCGTATCATCCGGTTTCATCTGCAAAACAATGATTCTTGTTAATCAAATAAGCAGTTCGGGTTCCAACGTAGCTGGGTACAACGCGCTATTCAAATTCCGAGTCGATAGTCCAACAGAAGAAAAACAGACACTAAACAGCTTGCGAGGTGTCTTGGCGTGTGTCGCGCCGCGCCACGCCCTCGAAGGCCTGGCCTGGGCCCACCACCGGGCGGCGGCTGCCGAGGCGGTGCGGCCGAAAGTAAAAGTAATGACCCCCCACCAACGGCTCGGGCCAACGCTTCGGCTGCAATACCGGCCGGCACCATCAGCACGTCACGCGGTCGTAAAAACCGTAAGAAAAGTCCTCCGCGGCCCGGCCCCGGCCGCCCCGCGCATCGTCTGCACGGTCTGCACCCGGCGGTCGTGGGAGCAGGTCCAGGGGGCGGCAGGAGCGGCCAAGCGGCGCCGGCTCGGGGCGGGGCGGGGTGGGGCGGGGCTTCACAGACGGAGACGGGCCATTGAATCATTTCGTGCAACCGACGCGACGAGAGGGAAGAGTTCGGCAGCAGCCACGTCGCGACACCGAACGGTTCGGCGGCGCGCCTGGCCTGGCGCACTCCAGAGTTTCACTCAACTCTGTCCTCCGCCGTCACCGAATGGCGATGCAAGCGATACTGTGGCCGTGCTCACCACTCGGCTCGCCGCCAGTATGCAGGCCATGTGCAAGGACAATACAACAAAGAGCCGTTTGGGGCTCTACGCGGTACGCGGTTCCCGGCGGGCCCGGCTGTCGCCCGGGCTGGCTGGGCCCTCTGGTGCCGGGGCTGAGCGCCTGGAGCCTAGGCACTCCCGTCGAGCAAAGGTGTGCACCGGGACTGCCTACGTCACAGGCGCCCGCAGCATAGGCACGCCCGTCGAGCATAGGTGTGCACCGGGACTGCCTACGTCACAGGCGCCCGCAGCATAGGCACGCCCGTCGAGCGTGGGAGTACGCCGGGACTGTCTACGTCCCAGGCGCCCGCAGCATAGGCACGCCCGTCGAGCGTGGGAGTACGCCGGGACTGTCTACGTCCCAGGCGCCCGCAGCATAGGCGGAGAAATTTCCAACACTATTTTAACATCTGCAGCTCTATTCCCAGCTTTACTCACTGAGTAGTTGGGAGAAATTTACAAGCTAGTAGCGCCTTTTTATTTAAAATAGTAATATGTTGTTGTTTGCACTCCGTCAATTCAAATGCGTACATTGTATACTTAAAAAGAAGCGTACATGACATGGCCATGATTGTTTTATGAAATGTATACATGCATGTCATGGCACGCCATGTACGCTTTCTTCCAAGTATACAATATACGCATTTGTATTGACGGAGCAGCTTTTATGCGTTTTTAAAGATGATTAGGAGTATTTCTTCAATTCATAAATCTTTGTGGAGTATTTCATGAAAAATTTAATTGGAAAAAAAGATTTTATTTTATGCACTGAAATACACCGTCTCTACAACCAGTGAAATTTGCTAGTGGACCAATGATGCCCCATCCTCTAGTTCTGCTACAACATGGTCGGGATCTCCCGGTGGCTCACGGTCGGGGAAGAGGAGAGGAGGGGGAGACGCGCCGGCGCGTGCGGCACCTGCAGCCGTCGCCTTTAGGCCCGGGCAGCCTCCGGGCTGGACCGCTCGCCAGGGGCTCGCCCCGGCCCGGGCTGGCGGCCCGGCTCACGAAGAATCTTCTCACATTCCTCGCCGGAAAGGAAACGCTTGTTACGAAACCAGCGGCAGGTGAGGCGGGGCGGGGTGGTGGTGGGGCGGGGCAGCTGATAGGAGGGCGCGGCGCGGCGCGCAGGACCAGGGTGGGCGGAGCGCTCGCAGGTGGTGCAAAGGCCATGCTCATGCCAAAGGCATGCGGACGGGCCTGGTGGCGAGCATACTGGGGCACGGCCTGAGGGACTAGGGTTTTCGATTGGGTGGGTGTGGACTAAAATTTGTGTCCGCCCGAAGCTGTTTTAAATGGAGTCTGGCAAAGATTTTCGGTCTGCCCGCTCAATCGAAAAAGGGACCCGTCGGTGACCCAGCCCGGATTCACGCCCTTCCTCGCTCTGCGACGCTCGTCCAGATCTGTCCAGCGCCTGGGACGCTTCAGCACCGACCAGTAAACGATATGAAACCGGTCCGGAGGGGCTCCGAGCCTAGCGTGTCAGGGATGCAGCGTCAGCGTCCCAGGGGCATGTTCGACATCCCAACAACAGACAGACATCTCGGCATTGCTAGTTCATAGGTCTGGGCGCGAGCGGGCGGGCTGCGTGTGGTTTGGCTTAGGGTGGGGCATGCAAACTTAACAATTTTCTGAATTTTTGTGTTTATATCTCCTAAACAGCTAAGTAAGGAATAGGATAAAAAAAAATTGAAGAAACTACTGCACTTACAGTTATGGCAATGGTACTAATTAGTAGATTGTGCAGAGTGTATGGACCAATAGTAAAAAATGATTTTTCTTGGGTTCTTTCACAAAATTTAAAGAAATGACCAAAATTATATCGTTTTATGAGAGTGCTGCTTCTTGTTTAAATCCAGCCGTTTAAGAGATATACAAACACCGAAAATGGCCCCAAAAAATTAAGTTTCCATGCCTCGGTCGTTGGTTCTGATGTAATGCGAGAGGAGCCGGTCAACTTTGGCGCGCATCACAAAGCATCTCCGGGGCGGGGCGGGGCGGAGGACGGGGCCGACCGGGCCCAGCCTCCCTGGCCCAGACCCGGCACTCTGCCGTGACCGGGCCGGGCCGCCGGTCGGTGACGCTTCCAGAACTGGTCCTGAGTCATGCGGAGCGTACGGAGCGTTCAACTGGGTCACGCACTCCGGCTCCGACCCGCCGACACGGAACTGCTGGGGAGGCACCCGCCGCATCGAGACCGTGATCTGATCATCGCTGGGCCGTAACAAGAGACTGCCTTGATTTTACATTACATTTTATTACAAACAAAATGGCCAAACAGATTTAGAGATCAGAGGCCATACTCATACAACCATAATGATTCAACAATGACAAACTTCTGACTACAGTGAGCAGAAAACATCTCACTTACATCATGAATGAAAAATTCCAAAAGCATTGAGGAGAAGTTTAAGTAAAAATGAAAGTTCACAGTGAAATTCATTAAGATTCAAAGGTATTCAAAAATGACTCATGATCATAAATAATTAATTTAAAAAAATGTACAGTCCTTATGCATGTCAAATTTATAATAATTACAGGCCAAGTCTCACACTTCCCAGCCCCTCCCACTTTTAGTCACCTTATAATGATTGATTCAGTTCATAAAAGTCTAAAAGACATTCAAAACTTCCATGGTAGAACAAAACACCATGTAAAGGACAGTTCCTGAGAAGCTGGATTGGAAACCCTATCTTTAGCATCAATGTGATGCAAATTACCATGCGCTACCTGGCAACAGGATGTTCCTAGATTAGATTAGCTTCTTTCAATAACATATTTTTATTTAAAAATTGTGAAATTAAAATTACACTTAATCCTCTTGTTGCTCAAGCTGCTTCAACAGAAGCATTCTTTGATTCTGAAGTTCTTCTTCAGTGAGTTCTTTTTCTTCCGATGCCCTGTCTGTATGTTCTCCCTCCTCTTTTGACTCATCCTGCAAACAAATAATGGTTATAGGATGAAATGGAAGAATTGTAGAAACAAAGTATAACTTGCTATTCAATTCTAATACCTTAGCTGGAGAATCAGGATTGTCTTTTGAAATATCAACTTCAGGAGGAAATCCAGAAGTGTCAGAATTGGGATCCCCATCCAGAGGTACGGGTTTGCTTCTGCTACCTTCAAGTTCATCTGATCCCGATCTTTGAAGAGAGAGCTGTAAATCACAAAAGAGAAAATTACAGAGACAGAACTCATAATTAATACTAGATGAACTACAAAACAGTTAAGAAAACTAACTGAGCGACTTCTTCCTTTCCGTTTCTTGGCTTTCTTCCGTCTTGATTTTTTGGAAAGATGACGCTCTGAATCTGAACTGGAATGACTCTCACTTCTAGAGCGTGATCTCCTTTTGCGCTTCTTTCTCTTGCCATGTTCATCTTCTTCTTCAGAAAACTGCAGACAGGTAAAAGTGCATTTACTGTAATTAAATGAACAAACTATGTCCTACAAAACCCAGCTGAAGTAGTACAATCAAAATGACTCACTGAACGAGATCGAGATCTAGAGTTTGATTTTTTTTTCTTGGATTTAGCCTTTTTAGATTTTTTGGGACGTATATGGTGATGTCCACAGGCCTCTTCATTTTCATGTTGAAATTCCTAAAAGAAAAAAACAAAAAGAAACAAAGGTGAGTGTTACAGGCTCAATTTTATACCATAGAATCTACAAATAAGACACAAACTACAAAAGAAGCAGAAAAACTTACTTTATAAATACGAACTCTTTCAGACTCAAGGGTTATAGCTTCAAAAGCCTTGTCTCCCTCTAACTTCAGGCGAGCCTCTTCCCATGGAGTATCATAAGTTATATCTGAAGATCTGATGAGTTGCTTGAAAGCAGCCTCAAGTTTCCTAAACTTCCGTGCCTCCTCCTTCTGGCGCTGTTGTTCTCTTGCCTCAGCCTTACATAAAACAAAAATACATTGACAGATATTTCCAAAAAGAAATGAAGTACTACATAGTAAACAAATGAAAGGGGACAAAACTAACCTTCTCAAGCAGAGCATTATATGTAAGCTTGACATTACCCGCATCTAAGGTGGCTGATCTTCGATCATCACAGACTACAGTGGCAAATGTTTCAAATGACGTCGTAACTTGAACATCAAAGTTCTTTTCTTTCAATATTTCTTTGATAATTTTCTTTTCATCATGGAAACGAGACTTTAAGTCTTCAACATAAAATTTAAACAAATCTAAAGGAGAGGATCCTGAGAAGAGATAGGAAAAACTGATCTTGAGAAACAGCTGCACAAAACAAAGTTAAAATGAGACAGCAGGGTTACAAAGGAAATCCTACCTCCTTGACCGAGCATGGCAGAAAATCTCAGATCAGCACTTATAATAGGGTAAAGTTCCACCCATAATGACATAGATGTTAATTTTCCCTGTTCATGTAGTTCGTCTAGAAGAGTCTGAAATTAACAAATAATGAACTAAGATGGAATAACTTGAAAATGTGATACATGGTACATGGTGCATTAAGAAATCTACGTACAATGAAAGCATCTCGATTTTTCCGATGCTGTCTTTTAAGTCGCCGCTTGTCCCTCTCCTTTTCTTCCTCCTCTTCTTTTTGAAGTTCTCTTATATGATCCTCAAACACAATTAAAGCATCTTCTTTGTCCATAGCTGTAATAATAAATTGTGTTAAGGGTCTTGTTTTTGCCCCTCTAAGTGTCATATCAAAGCTATGCACAACTTGAGACTAAATTATGCTTATCAACGAGACATGACTTTACCTAGTAATTCAGCATCATCAGCAAATGCAGGGTTCTCAATAAGCATTTGCTGTGCTTCCTGCCAAGTAGATCTGTAACTGATGTTGGTCATGGAGTCCAAGATTTCAGCTAATGATTTCATATTCCGTTTCTTGAGAGCCTTAGCTTCTTCTTTTTCTTTCTTAGCCAGATTAAATATAACATCCTCATATATATCTCGCCGGTCATGTTCACTCACATTTTTCCACACCTAAAAATAGGGAGAAAGAAATCTTAGAGTAAAGCAAAGAATGTCACCATACCACATTTTGAGTTACTTCAACAAGGCAAACTTACATCAAGAACACCATACATTTCTTCACACCTGTAATACTTAGTCAGAGAAGTCATCCTAGGATTATTCATTAAGTATTCTTCCAAATCCTCTTTTGCTTTCTTGGCTCTTAAACGTTGTCCTTCCTTCTCTTCTTTTAGCTTTTGTGTTTTGTATGCATTAAAAGCCTGTTTCCTCTCATTTAAGTTTTTAATTACAGCATATCTGGGGTCATGCTGAATTAATTTAACTGCCGCTTCCCATGATGCATTGCTTGGTACATCCTGTAAATTGTTGACAACTCATTAGATAGAAAGATAGATAAATAAGATAGAATATCTACTAAAAGATACTACAGATTCATACATGATCTCTTAGTAAATCCTTCACAGCCTCAATAGCTTCTTTTTTATCCTTAAACACTTTTGGCTCAGGCGTTCCATTTCTACTGGCAGGTGCAGAACCTTTGTTAGACGGAGCATCACCTCCTATGCACAAGCAAAAACTGTTAAGTAAGTATCCAGGAAAAAAAATGGATAAAGCTCTTTTAAACAATACTTAAAATTACCTCCAAGTGTGGCAAGAGTTGCTGCCATTGCCTGATCTAATGCTGAACTGTTCTTACTGTTTAGGGGTGGAGTGCCATGGTGCCCCATCACAGGGCTCAATGATACTGGAACAATAGGTAGGTCAGGAACAAAATATAAAAAATACCATTTTGACGTGAATTTGGGGCGCACTATTTTACAGATTTTTTAACAAGGATCACCTGGTATTTTCGTGCAGCTTACATTCATACCAACAGTGCATTTTTTGGCCAAGATCACTCGTTTCTTGAAGGGCAGGCTTTAGTTTAGTGGAAAACTGATTGGAGTTACTGCTGTTTTGCTGTCATAAGAAGGTGTCTGGGCTGGGAGAGAAATATCTTTTTTTGACCACATTGAATAGTGTGGCTTTTTCAGGGGCGAGTCAGCTAACTTTCTGACAGCAAAACAGCAAACCTTTACAGACGGGACTGCATATGAATGACCTGTGCAATTGAGTTGCATGGACCATGCATCTGCTCGTTTTGTTTGGCTCTAAGGTAGTTCTAGTCAGGGACTGCAACTCGCTTTAAACGATTTTTCACGATTTTGTCTCTTTAAAATCGTAGAATCACCATAAATTTGGGTGCACCCAAAATTCACTTTAATATATAACTTGATTTAAATTTATTTTTTGTAATCTAAACTTTCCTCACCTCCAGATGCAAGAGCTGGTGGAATCGGTATAATAGGAGCACTACCCATGGGCATAGCAGGCATAGCTGGCCCTCCACCTCCGGCAAGGGGAGGGACTGTAATGCTGCAAGATCAAAAGAGTCATTGACAAGTTGCCAGGAAAGAAGAAATGTATGACAGTTTCTCATGTTACCTCTTAACTTCATCAGCTGCTATTCTAGCTTTTAGATCCTGCAATTCATCTGGAATAACCCATCGTGATTCCTTGGTATCCACATTATGATAGTATGTTTTGCCATTTTCTGAAATATATTCCTTCCATGGGCACTTTGACAGTAGTAGCTGAAGACAAGAAAACATTGTAAACCTTCCAGCTGTTCAGGAAAAAAAAGAAAACCTAATTATGGCAGAGAATTTACCTCTGTTGCAGTTTTTAATTCATCTGGTTTCTCCCATAAACTGCACTTTGTAACAGCGTTATAATAATAAATCCTCCCATCCGGAGCAGTGTGTTCAGTCCAATCACTCTTTTTTAATGGAACTGATGAGTTAGAGTTGTCATCACCACTGCAAAAAAATTCATTTCTTATTAAATCACTGACTCAAAACTGAATGAAATAAATGCAAGATAAATAACTCACTTCATTTGTAATCCAGGGTCTCCGTTGGTTGTAATAGGTTTGCCATCAGGAGCTACATACCCAGGAACACCAAACCCCGGTGGTGGCATGCTGAACATTTGCGGAGGTAAGCCTGGAGGATTAGCCATGGCAGGAGTAGGTATATAACCAGAAGCTAGATGGGGCAAGCCTGCTGTGAATGCCCCTGGTGGTCCACCGCCCTCAGGGCCAGCCTGAGGGAAATAATACAGAATTCCTTAAGCTGTTGGATCAACATTGTCAGAACTCTGGCTGCTGTGATGGTTAACATCAACTAATTTCAATTTCTGACAAACGTAAATTTAAGAAAACAGGGCTCAAAGGACAGTAGTAATAATAATAATGAATATTCGCAGAAACACATTTCTAGCTACGATAGAGCAATTGCGTAAAGAAAGAGGCAACCGGTATATGAGTAACATAACCCCCTAGAGGATATTCTCCACACAAAATTACTCAGACAGGTCCGTACATGAAAATAAATTTAAGAAAATTGCACTCAACATTTTACTACTTACCATAGTTATTCATAAGTGATAACTATTATTAGAGTTAATGAGGCAAATGTGTACAAATAAATCCAGCTGAAATTTAACAACTTTTAAAGGTGGCTTCACTTCTTTCCTTGTCTGTCTGTCCGTCTATCCGTCTGTCCTCTGTAGCAAAGTATCCAGGTAAACCAACTCTCAAACTGTCAAAAGGTACAGTAATTTGATCAAAGCTATCTTCCCTTATGCTTTAAACATGTTTTTATGTACATATAAAAGTTAAGTCTATTTTCTGAGATAACCAGTAATTTTTAAATAGATTTTGGCTAGCATATTTGAAACAAACTATATGTTTTGTAGTGGTAATCGTCCCAGCCTTGTACAACTTTTGACGTGTTTGCCAGTTTGTTGTGAAAATGGCAGGCAAAAACACAAGTTCTGTGGATACAAGAGGAGAATTAGCAGAATTAGTAAAACGAAAACAGGAGATTGCTGTAAGTATTGGTTCCTAAATTTTTTTGGAATATTCTTGTGCACGAGTTATGAGGTGATAACGGAGAGGACTACCTTTGTACGTTGTGTATCACATCGTTGCAAGGTTATGTATCCTTTCTCGTTTGTTTGTCATTAAACATATCTCTATTAAAATCAGTTTTTTATCGCTGAATAATCGTTTTTATCGCTTTGTATTCACTGTTTTCTCTAACAAACACTGAGCAATGTTTCGCTTCATGTAAAATTATGTAAAGGTCACTATGCTCCTCTTTCCCATCTTAACTTTCTTTGTCAAACGTCTTGTGAAAGGAGAATGGTTGAATGGTTGAGAGTAGAATTTGCCTTATTCCATTGCTGTTTATGTTTTAACAGGAGACACTAGCTAACTTGGAAAGGCAAATTTACGCTTTTGAGGGCAGCTACCTTGAGGACACCCAACTATACGGAAACATCATCAGAGGATGGGATCGATACATAGCCAGCAACAAAAATACCAACAGCAAAGCTGATAAAAGGAATAGAAAATTTAAAGAAGCTGAGCGCCTGTTTTCCAAATCATCAATTACCTCTATGGCTGTAAGTCAAGGAATCACAATTTTACAAAGAGGAAAAAAATCAAATGCTGGTAACCTTTATTTATATTCTGGTCTTATTACTATATACTGGTATTACTTATTTTTCCTAGGCTGTCAGTGGTCTTGTTGATCAATCACAAGAGAAATGTAAGTTCTTACTTAAAATCGCTGTTTGGGCCTTTTTTTGTTTTTGTTCCTTCTTTGGTATTCATTCATACCTATTTTTCCACATTACAGCTGACCGCAACAGTGAAACTGAATCACATAATGGAAACAGTGGAAGTGAAGATAATGGTCTTCTTCGAAAGGATGCAGGCAAAAACACAACATTAGGATCTGCTCACACCAATGGTATAGGTAGAAGTTCAACTCCAGGTTTGAATGGGTCGTCATCAATGCTTGACCGCCCTGTCTCACCTCTCAGCAAGGATCTTAAAGGAGCTCGATCATCTGGAGTTAAAAAGAACGCAAACAAGAAAGCAAGATATAGATAAGTGTCATAATATTTTTCATCTCTGTTATGTTTGTGGACCATGGTGGAAGACATAGTCTTTTTCTACTAGAGCATCTGCTATTCGTGAAATGCCTCTTTTATTGCTTTAATTAGTAGCAATAATGAGAATTATTCAAGATCACAACAAATTATTTAGTAGGTGTACTGAAAATGTAAAAGATAATATTCTGAACTGCCATTACGGTTTGTTCGTGGCATTTTGAATGAATATCAAGGTCAAGTTATAATTTTGAACAGTAAAAAATTATTTATTCACATACAAACAGGTACCAACTAGTAGGCATTGATTCAATTTTCCTGTGAGTTCCCTTCCAAATATATGTTTAATCAATTGCCCCTCAACTGCTTTATGTGTGTTCTTTAAATCTGTTTTCTTATGGTAAGGTTGTGTCCAGTCTGAAATGTTAAAAATAACCTTATGACCCCTTTAAATGTTGTAAATATTTCATAGCATACTTCTTCTCTACTTACCATGTATTATATAAATTCTTCTTCACTGTTTGTGGTACCTTTTTTTTTGTAGAGAACTCTGATTCCAATTCAGAAGCTGTTAATTAATTTTGAAAACAGTTTTCTTGTGTTTTTGCTCAGCTATATGTACTTTAAAAGGCAAAGAATTTTTGTTTTTGTGTGTGTGTGTTTTTGTACATTGTGTATATAGTTATATCAGTAAGTTTATGTGTAGTCTTATTTGTGACACGTGAAGCAGCATTTGAACTTTCTTTACATTTATTATGAATTCAAGTACAAAACCTGTCAAGCTCTGATTTTCTTGTCATCATTATTATGTACTCATGTAAAATTCTAAATAATATTAAAAGAAATAATTGTATTTCTCTTGAGTTAACAATTTTGAATACCAATAGTGCATCATTTCTTCAAGAGGCCAGGCGTCTTTTTGGTGATCTTGTTTTAGGGCCCAGATGGAGGAAGAGGGGTGTAGTTGGGGTCCTTGGCCACACAGGCGCGCTTCAGGCTGGTAGGGATGACGTCTCGAGTGAGCTCGGCCAGCCTGGTCAGGGGGCAAAAGTGAGACAAGCCGCACCCCTCAATGTGCAGCGCGTACGGAGGGACGGCAGTCGAGTTTCGCAGGAACAACTGCGAACAGAAAGCATAAGATGTCAACAAGAAAGACCAAAGCTGCGGGGAAGACAATCATTGGAATGCATCCACAAATCGACTCACTTGGCCCGTGTACCGGGTGATTCAGAGAAGACCATACTCGCTCTGCCCGTAGGCAGGCAAACCCGCGCGAACCCGCGTCTTATCTGGATCGCCCGGTACGTGATGATGCTGGTGGGCTGGCTGCTGGCTTACTTACCTTGATGCCGTACTCGCTGGAGGCCGGGTCCTCGTGCAGCTCCACGAGCACCAGCACGCCGTAGCCGGGGATCTGCGTGTCCCACGCGCCCAGGCTGATGAGGAAGTTGGACACGGTGGAGTCGTGGCCCGCGTACACGAACATGCGGCGGCGCTCCGGGCGCAGCGAGCCGGCGGCGCGCGCGGCGCTGTGCTCCAGGACGCGCTTGAGCAGCGGACCTGCGGGAGGGAGGGAGGGAGCACCGTGCTCTGTGAGTGCGGGCGGGCGAGGCGGGCGGAGCGGGCGGAGCGGGCGCCAGAGGTCTGCGATGTTCATCCCCTCACACCCTCTCCAAGCTGGTCTAGAAGCGCGCTGAAAACCAATTTGAGGGCTCTCCCCAGCCAGAAATCCATCGTCGAAATTTGGTCGATTTTATCGATCAACGTGAAATCGACGTCGATTCGATGGGTTTTTGTCACCTAAATCGACGAATTGTCGACTTCGACGTCGATTCGACGTCGTTTCGATTTTGAATTTCTGGCTTGGCTCTGAGCGTGCGCCGCGCCGCCCAACATCTCTGTCTCTTACCGCCTATGCTATATCCAGAAGAATTTTGTCGTTTCCGCGCTCAGCTGGCGTGAGCACGGAGGGCGAGAGGGGAAGCGGGGGCGAAGCGGAGTTAGCAGTTCTTCCGCCGCTGCCTTCACGCACCCTCGCCCGCCGCACACCGGCGTCAGCGGCGCGCGCGCTGCGCTAAGCGTGGAAACGACCTATTCTGAACTGGATATAGCACTGGGAGGGAGCGAGATGGGGGACCGGGCGCCCACGAGGCAGGCAGCCCGCCCGCATGCGTGTCCCGCAGCGGTCTACCTCCCGGGCGCGCCGGGCGCGCGGGGCTGCCGGACCTGCAGCGGCCGATGGCCTGCCAGCTCAAGTCTCGTCGTTCCATAGCTTGGGCTGCCGGTGGCCTTTGTCATTCACACGTTCATTACGGCGAGACTACCCAATGACCTTGTGACCACCCATACGTGGTCAAGTTCAACTCGCGCATTAAGGTCACCAACAAGCCAAACACTCCAAGAACGATGAACGGCATATTTATAACACGAATAAAGAAAAAGCTTCAAGCCTTACTCCTTTTGAAATTAAAGCTCCGACCTTTAACATCGACCTATTTGAACTGCTCAAGCTAC